ACGTAGAAGTCTTGGTTCGATGATATATTATAATGTTTTCACCTGCTTCTGTTTTTCCGAGAATTATTATTCGAATTTGTTCATTGTAATCGGGAGGATCAATACATACTAATGAAAGAACAGAAATCCAATTTAGCCTTTATACAAAAACTATATAAATGCTTATTTCCAAACGTTTCAATTGATTAGCTCAATCTTCATCGGGTGGATATAAACAATTAACTTAGAATACACAAAATAAAATAAAATCTTTTCTTAATAATACGTGGAGATCTTTGATATGTATACAGTAGATGATTAAAATTGTATCGTGACAAACATCTTTAATCTTTCCTTTTTATACTATCGTTTTTCTTTTCTTTCACAACCTACAAAATTCTTGTTTGTACAAGTTACACTTGAAAAAATAAGAAAGAAAGGGTAACAAATGTAGAAGATTATATATTAATAATAAATTTCTTTGGACTTAACTGTAAAGACAACTAATATTAAAATTAAAACTAAAATGAGGTACAGTTCGTCAGAAACAATGGGAGAAAATTCCGAAAAGTCGACGGTTAAAGTTTTTTGATACTTTATTGAAAATATATTCCTTTTAGACTTGTAATCGATTCTCGCTTGTTTCCTTAAACCGTATTATCTCGAATTCTCATCTCTATTGGCTTATCAATCTACGTTTCCATTATTATTCCATTATTATTGGGAATCTAAAATTCCCAATAGCACTTGAAAACTACCTGAGAAAATAGAGATTTACGAAAAAGAAAAATTTCCTGCCATAATTAGGAACAGTTATCCAATAGACTTTATAATCAGTTACACAGTAGTTCACTGTACGTCTCGCCGCTTTTGTACGTATTACGCAGAACAAGAACAAAACTCATTATTTTCTTTTTCTCTCTATTTTTTGATTTCCGCTTTCGATTTAGCATATGTCTGATACACATACAGAAAACCTGTTAATTAGTTTTTTCTGTTCTTTAAGGGATCATTGTGTTATTCAGTGTGAACGACTTTCTACCCACGAGGTTTTTTTCGTTGATCGTTTTGATATACGACTAAATGGTCCATCACAGCGCATGGCGATTAGAAAGAGAACTGTGATTTCATGGTACATAATCACGATTGAAAAGCAAACGCGATTATCAATGAAGAGAGGTCTGTGCTTTTGTTCTCAAAACACAAAACTGCTCTCCTGTACACGCAAAATCTTTCACTGCTTCAGCTCCCTGTGCAGGAAAAACGACGGTGGAAAAAGTTGCAGGTTTCAGTCAGTTTACAATGCATGTGATCAGGTATGCTAAGAATGACTGTCTATTGTCAAGAAGAACAGACCTAGTGGAAGACGGATGATGTCGCATTTACAAAATGAGACATGTGCTGTGCGTTAACCAGTACAAAAGTTCTTTTATGAATCACGCTCGATCGATAGGCTGTTCTGGAAAAATCGTCTCCTTTTCCGTTTTGCATGGTACCTCGAGTAGACCTACCGGTTATCGCGATTCCAAAAAAATCAGACGATTGGTTATCGACTAATCGATAACTCATTTTTACTACATAAATTTTGCAAAGAATTTCCTTTATATACTCATTTTCTACAGCGTGAGTTTATANCATCATTTAAATTATAACTTCACTTATTCACTTATCTTAGAGCCTTGAATGACTCTGAGAAGCGAAGTAGCCGAAGTAGTAGGTCTACAAGCAGTAGGCCAAGGGTAGTCGTAAGACGCCTAGAAGAAAAACTCCGCGCCTGAGACCCGAATGTCGGGCGTAGATTTCTTGTTCAATCTGATCAGGTCGCCTAGAAAGGGGATCTCATTCGAGGAACAGAGGTCCCATGGGTGTAGGACGCACGATTATAAATGTCAATTAAACGGATTTGTCGCGATTATTCGGCATAAACAAAGCTTCGCGATTGTAGGCGACCCTGTTCCTAACTGGGATCAATTGTAGCTGTTCGCTAAATCTGGAGTAATCGGATTTAAAACGAAACCGCATGTATCTCCATCAAAAAATAATCCAGATTTTACCGATAGCATCCCGATTTCTAATTCGAACCCGATGAAACGCGAGCGAACAGGAGAAATCTGATCTATTTGTTGAGAAATCAGTTTGATTTGAACTGCAGTCCAAATCAAACTAGATCTGAATTTCAGCTTTGAGAAACTGATGAAAATACCGATCACGGCCTATGGAAACTCAAACTCAATCGCGGTTTTACAGGATGAAGTCGCGATGAATGATCAACGATCGGGTAGTCCTTTGTTTGTTGGGTGAGCATTTAATAGCGATTTTAGTAAAATGCTGCGCTAATCGAGACTGTTATAAGACATGATGATTAATTGCGATTTTGTTTGAATGCCATGAGCTGTGATGGACCGATTAGCCGGCTGGCAAAATGATCAAGCCAAAACAACCTCATGGATTGGACTAAAACTAAAAATCATAGAATACTCTTTTCTGATCACCAATGAACATTACTAATCACGTTATCGTACTTCTTCTTCTCGAAGCAAATGGACAACTGTATGAATTCGACAATAGTCATAAAAAATGTCTTCATCTCGTGTGCGTAGTGGCGTAACCACGAAAGAGTCGGTGGGGATGGCCAGCACCCCCTTGGATACGCCACTTCATTGTGCATGAGTATTTGCTAAATCTTTACGCAAGGTGAGAACAAACTTGGAGAATATGAAGTGCATCAGATTCACAAAATACGGGAATTTTAGCGACATTACCTCCTACAAAAACAAAGCATTGAAAAATATTTTCATTCGACATAAACACCCCAATTCACTTTATTTGAATATTCTCGAAACTAGTTAATGTCGTCCAAACATCGGAAAAGCAAAGAATTGTTGTGCTGAGAGTTTTATTCACTTTCAATGCCTCCACCAGTGCTTCATCTCCTTCACCACATATTTGGATCCCTCTAAGATTAAGACTGGTGATAGTTCTATTCACTTTCAATGTATCTGCCAGTGCCTCACCTCCCGGAAAGGATATTTGGTTCCCTCCAAGATCAAGACTGATGAGAGTTTTATTCACTTTCAATGCTTCTCCAAGCGCTTCACACCGCCGCCCCCACCCCCAGATATGATTTCCTTCAAGATTCAGAGTGGTGAGAGTTTTTTTCAATGTCAATCCTACTGCCAATACTTGCGCGTCTTGTTCGCCAGTTCTCGTACCCTGCAGCTTTAGGTCGGACGTGGAATCAAGTGCGTGCAGTTGTGCTTCCATTTGTTGATTTTCGCACTGTGGTTTGTCGAATGGGGATTCACCATCCACGCAAGATGAAGTTGTCTCTTCAAGTTCAATTATGTTCGAGACAAGGTCCACTTTACGTTTCACTTCAAAATGTGTTGCCGGTATCAGGAGAATTTCATTTTCGTTTTCATAGTGTGAATGTGAGTGAATGTTTTTTCCATTGTGGCATTGTACACCGAAGAGTGTTCTTATAGCTGTGAGAGTTCTATTCACTTTCAATGCTTCTGCTAGCGCTTCACCTCCTCCGTCAGATATTTGGTTCCTTTCAAGATTCAGAGTGTTGAGACTTTTATTCACTTTCAATGCCTCTGCCAGTGCTTCACCTCCACCGTCCGATATTTGGTTGTAGCTAAGGTCCAGACTGGTGAGAGTTTTATTGACTTTCAATGCCTCTGCCAGTGCTTCACCTCCACCGTCCGATATTTGATTGTAGCTATGGTCCAGAGTGGTGAGAGTAGTATTCACTTTCAATGCCTCTGCCAGTGCTTCACCTCCTCCATCAGATATTTGATTCCTAGCAAGATCAAGAGTGGTGAGAGTTTTATTCACTTTCAATGCCTCTGCCAGTGCTTCGCCACCTCCATCAGAAATTTGGTTACCATGAAGATGAAGAGG